CCCACCATGCTGGGGTTCTGTGAAGGGTAGGTTATAACCCACAAAGTGTCCCTACACCTTTATCAATACACTTTTACAAATGCATTCCTCACATTTACTTTTATTCAGACCTCAGAGTAATTTGGAGCCAAGAGATGTACATACAAACATACACACCTGGGAAGAGGGACCAGGATTCCAGCTGAGCTCTTGCACCTTCACCAGGGCACTAGTGACACTACCAAAACCAGCCCCTCCTGCTGACAGTACTTGGCCAAGTCCACTCATCTTCTCAGAACAAAGGATGTGGTAAGATCAGAAGGTGCCACTTACCCTTTCACCAGCAGCATTTGCTCGATGGTGTCTGGAAGAGGCATGCCATAGCTTTCTGGCAGAAATAAAGTCAGGATTCCTGAGAGCACAGTCAGGCTGCCCATCAGGATGTAAGGCAGGAACCGATCGTAGGCACCTAGCAGAACATACACCCCAAAAAAACCCTGGCATCAGCTCCAAGCCTCTGATAATGTTTCTTTGTAGGGCTTTATCCATGCAAGAATTATGCTTTCAGTCAAAACCCAACCAACATGCCTCAAAGCCTGGCATTCAAAGCACATGTTGCTAGAAAAGGGTTTTAGGAACTCAAGAGACTGGGAAACAACAGCTACAAGAGGTGTCCCGACGGAGGCAGTAAGACTGGGAGTCTTCAGAATATCCCCACGGGGCACAAAACCACAATGTATCTACATTATAACCCTTCCTCAGAGATGCTGAGACCCTCTACCTGCAGTTTCACAAGCCACCTGGATCTGGAAAGAGAAGAGCAGAAAGCCCAGAGACCCACACTGGTCTCACTCTCCACCCGCCAGCGTCTCCCCACGCCGACTAATTAACTCACCGAGGTAAACGAAGTAAGGTGAGAGGATGCTGCCCAGCCTAGAGGCCATGGAACTTGCTCCAACTCCCATGTTCCTCACCACTGTTGGGTAGAGCTCAGCTGTATAGACATACACCATTGAAAAGGCAGATGTGATCCCAAATTTCCCTGACATCACCAGCAGAATAGACACCGCCCGAAGATCTGAAATCAGAAGGCAGGAAGGGGCTTCACTAAAGCTCTGGCACTCCAGGGTACCTCTCAGCTCCTCTCTGCTTCTGTAACTCCTGCTTAATTAATTAATTCCAGCATCTGATCTTTTGTTTTTTTTTCCCTGTACACATCTACAAGCATGGGCAACATTTTTTACTATTTGTATGTATTTAAAAATTACTAGGACTCAACATTTCCATTTCCTCTTGAGCTTGGGGCTTCCTGCCAAGCAAAAAAATAAGGAAAACTAAATTTAAAAATGCAGTAAGATGATAATAATAATAATTTAAAAATAAGGAAAACAGAACAAGAGCTGGAGAGGTCTTTTCAGATTTCAGGGGCCAGATCTCTGTTCATGAAAACAATGCCATATATCCCTAATAAAAGGAAAAAAGTTAAACAGTTGAAACAAGTTATTTTTGGTTTCCTGCTTTGGTTTCTCATTAACATTCCTAGCTACAAGGCAATAATTTAATCACAGGAAATTGGGTTGGCTTTAACTGGGACAGTTAGGTTTGGAAATCAAACCTGATCACATCAGTGTCCAACTGACTCAAAGGATAAGAGGGGAAAAAAAGAGAATGCAAGATGTCTATTACCTGTGTAAAATAAACAAGTTCTTGTGCATTCCCTTCTGTGTTTTCTTTGATGTGTGAACAAGGGCTAAGCAACATCTCCTCCCCCCATCATATTCAACAGTGACAAGTCCATAGTGCTATTAATCTACAAATAATTAATATACAAATGGTTTCACAGCCAATAAAAGTTACTTTGTCCTCTTTTCCAGTTGCCAAACGTTATTTTAACTGTCAACACCAATCCAGCACAAGCATCTCTGCTTCCCAAAAATGCTTCCACAATGAGGCTCTTGAATATAATTGTTTAAACATGCCCTAAGTCATGGAAGCAAGTTCTGCAGCCTCTTGGTAACCTCTGCTGACCAGATTCTGCTTGGTCTAGTCCTGGTTTTACACCGAGACCTTAGCAAGGCCAGGGATACACATGAGAGGCAAAACTGGAGTGCAATGCTAATCCAAACTGCTCCCAAAACCAGTGACCCACCTTTCAAAGTGTATCTGAATGGACATGTTGTGTGAGCTCCTTGTGCAGCAGCACTGAGAACCAAGAAGAGGGGCAAAGAGAGGAAACCTCTGCATTGAGTCCCCTCGGGACACTTTTCCTCCACCATCAGCCCAGTGCCTGGGTACTGCACTTCACCTAGCATACATATTTGAGATCAACTAACGATTCCATACGTGAAGGCACCAGCTGAATGAAGAGAAGAACACAGCCTCCCAAGAATAACGCAGCAGCCATTGAGTACCGTCGCGGGAGGTTTCGGAGCAGCAGCCAGGAGATGATGTAAGCTGGGACTTCCACCACTGCTGAGAGGAAGCAGTTCACGTACACATCTCCGTGCAGGTTGGGGGTGTCCAGAGAGAGTCCGAAATAACCCACAGAAATGATCATCCTGAAAGAAGCAGAAGGGGATGAGGCACGTTTCTCTTCTTCGTGAGGTTGCTGTGAGTTTCTCTTACATCTTTGAAGCACTGAAATCACTAAGGCACATTGAGCATCTCCCAGGTTCTTTGTCCTCTGAAGCAGCCAAAGTGATGATTTCAGATAAAGCAAGCTAAAAAGCATCAGCACTGTTTAATTGTTCTCCTTCAGGTTGCTCTTACATTCAAAGAATAAAATATATCTTAAAAAAATAACGTAAAATACCCCACTGAACATTGACACAATTGGGTAACTCCAGAGGTGTGAGGCACAGGTCTACAAGCCCATGGTCATAGGTGCTGGATGGTCCTGTGGCTATGGGCTCATACCTCTCTTCTGGTGCCATTGCATGACTTTGCAACTGTCCATCCCACTTCATTCAGACCTTGCAAGGAAGCTCTGGTTATGTGCCACTTGATATCTATCTATGTAGACATCTCATTTGTCTCTGCTAGCTGTGCTGATGGGGGCCTGACTACTTCTCATCTATGCCTCCATATTTTAGGTCACCCTGGGGAGGTGAGTGATGAACATTCACCCTGTGGTGACAGAGCAGCTCCTCAGAGCCTTAGCCTGGCAGTTTGCACTACTGAATTTTGCTGCTGCTGAGCCCTGCAGTAGCTTCTCATGTTTATCACGGAGCTCTGGGTGGAGAATATTGTTTCTGAATTATTACCCTCCATGCTTTGTGTATAAAGTCAGAAAGGAGGAGTGTGGCATCCTGGCAGAGCCAGAGAGCCCAGGATTCTCTCTGTCACACCCCAAGCTGGCTGGGCAGCACACTTGCATGGCTCATTGCTTGGCCAGGACAGAGTTTGGTGGCCAGGAACACTGCGACCCTTGTTGTGCCACTGCCAGACAAGAGCTGACTTCTACAGGATCCAGGGAGACCACAGCTGGCCTCAGAGACACCCCTGCTGTGTCTTGGGAGATGCTGGGAAGAGAACATTATGCTTCAGCAACCAGGAACATGGTACACAAGGAATAACAGGCACTGGAACAGGACGTGTCCAGGCACAGAGCACTCAGCATCCACCTCACAACAGAACCTGGAGCAAAGGGGCTGCACAGCACGAAGTGGATCACTGGTGACAGGTTAGCTCTTCCTCCTCCTGTTCCTCCCTTCACCTGGGAAGAACCTTCATGGTCCAAAAAATAAGTTGCCTACTGTATCTGGGAAGATATGAAGTCATCCAGCTGCAGGTAACCCCCTGCTGCTGGGGGGCCCTGCCAGCTACAGCAGCTCTTCTCAAAAGCACCCAGCCCCGTCCTCCTAGATCTTTTCCAACCAAAACCACTCTATGATTCTCCAGCTCACTTCCCACTAAAGGTGAGAGTCAGCAATTGGACCTGGAGGCAAGACAACAGGCTGTGGAAATGGCACTGACATTTCTGCAAAGAAGCAATGCTACCTGAAAGAAAAGCCTGAGCTGTTTTCTGCTCAGGTTCCTTTCTCAGTGTGTTTTTAGCACTGTGCTTGATGATGGGGAAGGGAATCTGGCTTGAGTATTAGCCAAGTCATCCCTTGACCTAAAAAGCCACATCAGCTTGTACACACTGGCAGCTCAGTGGACTGAGCACCAAGATTTTGCCTCACTAAGCCACAGCAGCACGGTTCAAAAAGGCACCAAACAGACTTAGCTCCAGAGCACCTGAGGGACCTTCTTAGTTAGGACACTGAAGGTACATGCACTAATTAAATCTCACTTTTCTAGCCTCTGGCAGGCTCTAAGTTACCACTTTCTCCCTTCTAAGCAACTACAGCTTCACTGAGATTTCCAGTAAAAGAAAATAGCTGTTTCATCACACTGAGCACAACACATGGCTTCAGTGCAAAGCCTGAAGGTGGCAGGTAGGCAGAGCAGCTGGCAGGAGAGTCCAGGGAAATCTCAGATCAGAGCTTCAAAGACAGCTTTATCCATTTCAGAGCCAATACAAAGGAGATGAGAAGACTCTCCCCATAAGTCAGGCAGTGCTGTGTCCAGCCCCCTGGGCAGTGGTTCTCTGACTGGGAGATAGGTCATGACTCACTCCTCTTAAAAGACTTTGCTGCAGTCAGATGAGGATTCCCCAAGGCCACACATCAGGCAGGGTTCCCAGGCAGCACTGCCATCTGATCTGACTCTTACTCAGCTCAGGGCATGTTCAAATGCAGCAGTTTGACTGTTTCAGAAGAAAAAATAACAGCCCAGATGCATTTCTAGACTGTTACTGAAACGAAGAACCTCAGTAATTAGAATTTTATTGCTTCAGCCAGGTCGTTGATTTGGATACAGTTTTCTCTGTATCTCTTCAGAAAACCTTAGTGTTCAAAAAGCATTTTTTTTTAATTATTTTGCTGCTTTTGCTCTTGCACACTCCTGACCCACACTTGGCTTACCAAAGAAGCACTGACATAATTGTGATCGTTAGGATATTCCGGGTCCTCATTAGATCCAGAATGGTGTATGTCTGCTGCTTCTGGGAATTGGCATCTTGCAGCTGGAAACAAACAAACAAACCATGGGAACATTAACTTCCTGCAAGCAGGATTACTCTGAAAATAAGTCCCTCCCAAGTTATACATCAGTATTTTGATATACTGCTGAGCTGAGGCAGGTGCCTCACTTCTATACGAACACATATAAGCCATAAAGGCCAATTAACTGTGAAAGCAGCTGCTCCTCCCTGAATTAAAGTCACTTAGATCTTCAAAGAATAAAAGCAAAAAGACAAACTTCTCCCTGCCCCAGGAAACTTTCCAGCTCCTCAAAATAAAACCACTTCCATGGAAACAATGCAAAGATATTCAACCATCAAGCACGCAAACAGGTTTCGTGCTCCAGAAGACTGTAAAAAGGGGAAGAATTTAGGCTTTTTTTTTTAAATTTAGGGTTTTAATTTAGACCCCTGACAAGGAGTAACAAGGGAGAGATTTTACAAAATATATAAAAGATGATTTAAGTTTTTAATCAGTGGAACTTGTCCTCTGTCAGCCCTGGAAAAGCAGCACTATATGGCTGAGGAATCACAGTTTTCCACACAGGTCATAGTTTAGTATTTTTAGTTTTGACACTGGAAATTGCCAAGACACAGAGGAATATTTAAGTGAAGACTTCTCTCTCCAAACTAGCAGAATCACTCTTGCCTCACAACCCTCTATTATGTGCAAGCACAAACTGCATACACAGATTACTTCCTCCCTTGATTTTTTTAAGTCAACGTGACCTGAGAATGTCAAATTAGATTTTAATATGTTTAAGGACTGGATGCCTTTTGTTGGCACTGTGCACTCCTTCACAGCATGTGCAAATAGTTATGAACAAAAGTAAACTGTGATTGTAGCTTCAAAATAGTGCAATTAATCCCTGCTTTAAACTTTCCTAACTCCTTCCACCTGGTCTAACACACCATCCTCTACTCTGTTACTTCAGCTTATGATACTTTCTTCCCTAAAATAGCAGAGTGGTCCAGCAGTAGTTGGATGTACTGCAGGACAACACATCAATAAAGAGAAAACAGTAGCCAGTAGTTTATCTTAATCCCTCATCAGCCTCTCTTCCATATTCAGTTTGTGATGTTTCTTTTGGCAAGCTAGTGGCTGGACACTGATTTGGGACCTTTAACTCTTGCCCCTCAACTCCAAATATTCATTAGCTCCCCCATGGCTTGTAAACCAGCTGAGCTAATGGCAACATGAAGTTGACATAACCCCTGCAAGCAGGAGAAAATTCTGAGAGGTGTTTTGTTCTGAAGACCCAGGGGATAAAATAGTGGTCTGATGCTTGTGCAAACTTCAGTGTATTTGCTTTCATAAACCTTTATTTTCTACAAAAAACCAGGAGTTGTTCACATCTGATAGCTTCTGCTCTGCCTGAAGCCAAAACTCCTACCACACAAACTGCAGTCAGCTTTGCAGCTCAGCCCTTTCTCATAAACCACATGATCTTTCCTAAGTATTCTCCAGTTTTGCCACTGTTTGTTGCCAAGAAACCAGCAAACAGGAAACAAAAAAAAAAAACAAAAAGGAGAAAAACCAAACAAACCACAAAACAAAACCAGGAACAGTAAAATTCAGGGACTTACAGTTGATGAGAAAAAAGGACTCTGCCTTTTAAGAGCTGGATAAGCAAACAACATAATCCTTAGCAGGACAGGCTGGAACAAGAAGCTATGATAAGGGCAGGGAGGGCAAAACAAGGTCTGAAATTAAACCTATCACCCAAACATTTTAATCCTCCTTAGCTGGGATCATTCAGCCAACCAGCCTCTACTTGTGGCCTGCAGCTTGTTTGCAGCCAGTCACCTGCTGGATCCTGGCTGGTCTGGAAACCTCTGGAGCCAAAATATTGCAGCAGGTGCTGCTCTCCAGCTGCACGGGTTTGAGGAATAACCCAGGCACGAGCTCAGGGCTCCTCCATCCAGAACACACGTTCTAAATGCTGGGGCTAAGGGCCAGCTGGATTTCTGAGAATGCCTCTGCAATGGAAACATGCTCCCTAAAAACTCAAGAGAGGCTGTGAGCCTTTGCTTCACAGCTCTTCAGAAAGCAGACAGAGGAACTGTGTGAACAGACCACGGGTGAAGGAAAGTTCTGCACAGATTTTTTGGTCACAGCATCACTTTTCTTTTAAAAAGAAAGGATTTAAACAGTCTCCTCATCGAGCTCCTTCTCCTTTGGCTGTCAGAATGTTAAGCTGTGTTTCTGAAAGTTGACCTGCAATGATTTATCTGTAAATAAGCACCATGTACCCCAGCCCACCCAGCAAAAGGCAGCACCTCCCCTGGTCCAGTGTTCCCTGGGGCAACAGCCCCACTCCTGTCCCTGCCTTCAGAATCCAGCCCCACTCAGAGCTGGCAAACATAGCAGTGTGTCTTTCTAAGAATGGGGCATAAAGGAGTCCAGGGACAATGACCTTAAGTAGCTGCTGGAGCCAGAGCTTATTTTCTGTTCTGCTGCAGTGCTGGGAATGGGTGAGTTTTCATGTTTGCAGAATGAGAAAGAAGGGGGAAAAGGAAAAAAATCATGCTGTAATGAAAATCTAGG